AAAGGTATTTACCTATATTTCCCTCAATAAAACCTGACCTGACCTGACTGCTTATTCTCAGACACTCCCGGAACACGCGACCTTCTGCCTGTTGCAGACCTCCAGAGCCGGCGACTACACCGACCGGAATGCGACTCTGGACACCGGCCCCTCATGGCTGGAGTGCACTCCTCTGGGAGTCACTTACTCATTTCTTATATTCTACTCATTCAACACTTCATTATATTATCCATAACACTATGGCCTTCCACGCCTTATCATATCAACTAGCTTATAACTGTTGGGATACGTTCATTTCCTATTATCCGGCCGGACCACATCGTATCCCACAGAAGCTTGCGACGGTCGACTTGTCCTTCTCATGTGCCTAAACATTCCATTCAGTTATAAAGAGTTCGCTTTTTACTAAAAGCACAGGCTGATTTAGCAGCTTTATTAATGAAAAAATACACAATGAAGTGGAGGTTTCGAAATTCCATACGAGATCCGGCAAGGTTTTATCCTGTAAAAACTGGTGTACAACAGGCTAAGTGATGCCTTCGACGAATGCAGTCACGGTTGCAGAGTACCGCATTATCGACAAAAATTGTTAGGCCCCATCAATTGTGCAGGCCATGGGTTGTATCCTTTACTCCAAAAATTTCCGTGGTCAGCTCGGAGATGACGTTAAATGAGGTTCGCGTCAATTCTTCATCCACAAATTGATAGCACATAACGACCCGGATAAAGAACAGCTCAATTGGATGACGAATAAAGGACGGCACCAAATGCAGACGACCATCAGCTTCAGTCCTTTCGTACAATGTCCGTGTGCGCGCATTGTCATTCTGAAGTGAGAAGAAATAAAAGGACGTAAACATATTCACTTAATTTTCTTTGAGTACAGTTTATTTACTGCGTTGCTTTACCTTTATGCGGAAGCAGACCAGACCGAGCGTGACTTCACCCACGATCTCGAATCGTCCGTCACTTCTAAGTAGGCGTTCCAGGTAATGCGCCATTTCGACATGCTAAAAGTGTTTGGCATAATAATCTAAATAGGACGGCTTTTACATTTCTGATGTACTTCTGAAGGCCACTGACACCGTAGGCTCTGAGTACGAACCATATCTTGAGGGACCTGCACCGACGTCCAAGCGGAATGTGCCAGTGCTAATGAAAACCATTTAGATGAAAAAGAAGAAGAACTGGAACAAACCCTAAAATCGGGCATCTTTCCGAGTTTTCTATGTTGGAGGTAA